TCAGCCTCTCTGCTCCTATGATGCTGCTTGGCCTGCTGTGTTCATCCAGCCCTGCACCTTGTTGTCTCGGATTCTCCAGCATCTGCAGTTCCTACTATCTCTAAACCAGGTGGCAAGTTGGCTCAGTGGTTAGCACTGCTGCCTTACAGTGCCTGGGATCTGGGTTCAATTCCACCCTTGGGCGACTGTCCGTGTGGAGTTTGCGCATTCTCTCTGTGCCTGTGTGCGTTTCCTCCAGGTGCTCTGGTTTCCTCCCACAGTCCAAAAATGGACAGGTTAGGTGGATTGACCACGCTAAATTGCCCATAGGTCCAGGGATGTGCAGGCTAAGTGGGTTAGCCATGGAAAATGCAGGGTTACAGGGAGAGCGTAAGGTGGTTGAGTTTGGGTGGGATGCTGTTTGGAGGGTCAGTGTGGACTTGGGCTGAATGGCCTGCTTCCACACGGTAAGGATTCTATGAACATCAAATTAACATAATAGATATTTATTACTAATCTTTGTCTAATTCTGTCTAGGTGGATGCAGCGTCAGTGAGACAAATTGATCGACTTAGAGCTGCTAGTGGGATCATGCAAGAAGAACTGAGAAACCATAATGGTATTATGTATCCTACTGCACGTGGGCTTAGAAATGAGAAGGAACAAGAGGCTGCTGTTGCAATGACCAGCCTCGGATTTATGACTGATAGAATGCCTGATTTGAATTATAAATCACATCCACCAGAAAGCCTAGAAAATGGCAGTGGCTGCACAAAGCCTCATGAAAGCTTTAGCACACTGTACAAATCACCACCTGGACTACAAAATGCTGCTGGTGCGAGAAGTGAATCATTGGGTTTAGAAGGATCTTCGGCCGGTAAACAAGCACCAGTGAATGGAACTGGTCCTAGTTATTTGCGGCTTCCTTGGATTAGCCCATACATGGAGAGTCCAGCACCAGGGATGTATCCATTTGTGGAATCGCCAAGCAAATACTCAATGAACATGTATAAAACATGCTTGATACCTTCACAGAATTCTTATGGCTTACCACAACACATCTCCTATTCACCTGTCTGTAGCCACAGTGATCGCTTCTTGTACATACCACCTCCACACTATGGTTTGCCTCACATCCCTTCATCTCTTCCTTCTCCACTAAGGATTACACCAGCTGCAACATCACCCATAATGTCTTCTATGGTTCATTGTCCTGATAAATGCCTCTCAGGAATAATGACAGGAAATCCTAGATTGCAAGTTGATCCACAAATTTTGACACATCAAATATCGAGTGGCAAGAAAACAAGGATTACAGCTAATGAAAAGTCAAACGCTAGTAGTATTCCTGCAGACCCTGCTTCACTGTTGCAATCTCCTAAACCAGCTGCCCGGCTTCATCTTTCCTCATCGCAGATTGGAGAGAGTTCTTCTGAATTCCAGAAACACCTAGCCAGAATATCTGGTCCTTCTCCTTCAATGGCACTTCCTCATGGTTATTTAAGCATAAATAGTGAATTTACTTCTCCTGCACGATCAACGAACAGCAAAAATTCAAAACCAACAGAATCTGGTGATAACTTGCAACAAACAGTTACACATTCACGAAGCTCTCAGGCTGAACAAAAAGCTACGAAGTCTCCATTACAGCAAGAAACACAGACACCCACCAAAGACTGCAGTGAGAAGCCTTTAGATTTGTCATCTAAAGTAGGCTGTGGTGAGACATCAAGTGATCAGGTATCCAAGACTGAGAGTACTGATAAAGTGGTGCCAGTATCAGCAGCTGGCAAATGGCGCAACAACTCCTCATTGTCTAGCAAGGAAACATTTTCTAGCAGGGAAACTCATTCTGAAGTTTCAGCAACTTCAATACATAATGAACTCCCTATTGAAAGACCTGCTATTATCAACAAATTACACTCAACCTGGGCTGTTCCTGGTACTAGTTCTCCTGGTGACCATCAAACCAGTAGTATATTGGTGAGCAATAAAACACTACAGCGTATAATTCCTCATCAGAGAAGTTCCTCATGCCCTAGGATTGGGAGTTCCAATGGTTCTGTCAATCATATTCCAGGTTCAGTGTCTGGATTGGGCCGACCTGCTTCTGCTTCACCATCACCAAATGTTAGTACTGAATGGGGTCACTCTGAGAAGGCTCATAGGAATAACTCTTCAAATAAAACATCTGTGATTCACCAAACAGGGCAGTCCTCTCCAGTACCCAGTAAACAGACCACTAAAGGGACCAAAGGTGGTTGTCAGGATTTTGCATCACATTCAACTGAAAGTGGCCATTCATCGGGTTCAATATTTCTCACTCCAAACGAGACATTTTTATCCCCACCTTTACCATATCCAAACAGATATTTCACCTACTCTACACCTGAAGGAATCTCCATTGGCCATCTTCCTTTACCTGATAAAGGACTTGTATTTCCCCATCCTGCCTTATTGCCTAATGGCAATTTGTACGCAGGAAACTTGGCACCAAAGCACAGACTTTCTTATACCAGCTTGCCAACATGCAGAGGTGAATACACCGTGTTTCACAACACACAAAATTTGATCAACCCTATAATTTCATCACATACTTCTCAAGAAGAAAAAAGGAGTGAGGGAGCACAGCGGCGATCTAGATCGCATGATCGACTTCGATGTAATGAAGAGCTGGTTAACAGAGGAAGACCATCAGAAATTTCGCAAAAATCAAATGTAACTCAGTTACATGTTTCTACTGGACTTGAGGTCTCGTGTTCTAATCCAAAGAATCATGGCAAAATGTTTGCCAAAGATTACAAGGATAAACCCTTAATCGTGGAACACAATGATCAATGGGGAAAAGTTGAAGTAAAAGCATCTAAAAAGAGCACCCTGCCAGAAGGAAGCAACAAACAATATTCAATGAAAGAAATTGATGAGAAAACAGTTGACCCTGTGGAAGCCATTGCCATACAAGACAGTGTCCACAAAGACAAAGATGTCCACAAGGCAGTAGAATTTTGTAGCTCATCACAGGGTCAGTGTTTACCAAATCAGAACTTAAACAAAGATTTTATTTCAGACTGCCAAAGTAAAGAGAGTACAACAGTTCAGTTGATCGCTGATCTATCGGAGGGTGGTCGTATCATTGATAGTGTTGCCACATCTTTGGGTAATACAAATACCAATAAGGAATTTGGTGCTGAAGCTGAGCAGTTTTTGGCTCAATTGAATCACAGTGATACCAAAGACAGAACTGATGACTTGGACATAGCAGCTGCTAAATTTATGAAGCCAAAAAAGTCTAATCTAACAAAGCGAATTGCAAACTCAGCTGGGTATGTGGGAGATAAGTTTAAGTGTGTCACAACAGAACTCTATGCTGATTCTAGCCAGCTTAGTCGAGAACAACGAGCACTACAGGTGAGTTGCTGACTTATTTGTCAGTAGCTAATATATTAAATTGTTAAAAAGCTGGTAAGATCTTTTAATTTTTAATATTTTATATTCTCAATGCATGAGAAAGCTATTTGTGAAATTCAGAGAAAGGGTTTTTGAGATTTCTGGCTTGATTTATATCCAGTGCTATGCTGTGATATATTGTTGATTATCCTATTATGTCATGAGTGTGCAAGTGATGATGCTTAGCAATTAAATCTAAATTGTCCTGGGGATACCTGCGATACCAACAAGGCAATATTTATTGCTCCTCTTAATTGTCCTGAGTGTATTAAGGGCCAACCACACATTACGGAACTTGAATCACATTTGGCAAAGCAAGAAATATAATGACAAAACTTTAGCTTTCCTGGTAATTTTAGTGACATTATCGAATATTTTGGATTCATTTTCTCAAATTGCCACGTTGGAATTGAACTTGAGACTTGCTGGTTGCTATTCCATTATCCCAACACTAGACCATTGTACCCATGTAATGTTGTACCTTGTCCCAGAAACTTTGCACATTTTTCCAGCAGTCTTGTGACTTTGCACTATTAAGATTGCATGTCCTTTATATTTCATTATCAGTGGTCTTCTGTATAATCCAATCATCCCAATGGAATACATGTTTTCAAAAAAAAAGCAGTAGAGAAAGATTAACATGTATACTGTGCATTTAAAAGATGGATGGTTTAGGTATGTGTTCTAAACTTGTGTATTGTCACATTTTGGATTTGTCCTTGTGTTCGTTGTTGTGCTGCTCATTGAATTGAATTTTGGAACTGGATACCACATGTAATCGTCCCAATAGATGCTCTTATTTTATACTTGAGTAGCATGTTCAAATGTTAGACATTGTCTCCTGTTATTGTTCTTGCACCATATCTTCAAACCAAGATGTAGTAGGGGTAAACCCAATTAGTGATACCATGGTCAGTAGGCCTGCAAAGATGAGCTTCCCCTCTGTGGTAGTTACACTACACACATATTGATTCACTAGCTATGGTATGGACAAGGTGAATTCCTTCCCTTCCTCTTCATGCTTCTTTGCTTTGTTTCACGCATTTGTACTAAGCATTCCATACATATTTGTTGTTTGTGTGAAGTCTTCAGTAAGCATCACAGATTTACACACTTTTTGATAGGTAATAAGCCTCTTAATTTTTGTTCTTGTTGTGAAATATTGGTTTATGTCTGTAAAAATGAATGAAAAAGTTCCCCACTGAGTGATCATTTTAATTGAATAGATGGAAGGATTATCACAAGAAGACAGTATTTTATATCAGCCTGCTGCTTACTGTGAGGTCAGTTCTTAAGATTTTTCTCAGATTGTTTTAACTAAAATAAAAGAACTGTTAAGTTTTAGCAGTGAGCCAATAGCTG